ATTTGCTTTTCTTTCTAATCCCAATGGTTCTTTTTCTATTTCTTTGTCTTGGTTAGGACCTTCAGCACATTTTTTTTTTTTTCCTTTTTGTCTTTGTTCGTGTCCGGCAACAGATCGCAACCCTCGGTGTTGTTCCCACACCTCGCTCAGCCAGTGAGCGGGAACCGGTCTGTATGTGGGATCCGAACCCTCGGCGGGAGCGCCACCGCGCTCCCAAGCGGGGCACTGTAGCAGTGTGCCACCGGGCCGGCCCCAGCACATTTTTTTAATTGTACAAAAGATAGTAGTCATTCTTATCTTTTCACTGGTTAAAATTGGAATGCTTTTTAACATGTCATCATTAAGCATGATGTTTGCTGTAGATTTCCAGTAAATCTTTCTCATTGTGTTTATAACGATTCTGTTCCTAGTTTTCCAAAAGATTTTTTCTTTAAGGTATTACTAATTTTGCCAAGTATTATTCTTTATTGAGATGATCTTTCCCTTGTTTTTCTACTTTTTTGTGTGTTTGTGTGGCTTACTTTGAAGCTGCTAATATTGTATATTATATCAATAGATTATTAGATTTTGAACTATCTCTGCATTGGTCTTATATTTAAAAAAATTTTTTTGACACTATTGGGTTCACTTTGCTATTTTTTCTCTAGGTTTATACTTCAATTTGCTATTTTTCTCCATCTAAGTTTAAGGTGTAATTAGTCCAAATTCTCTGGGGTTTTTTTTGTTTTGTTTTGTTTTTTTGTGCTTTGTTGTACAATTTCGATATCAAGATTCTACTAGTCTGCTTTTATTGTTTTATAAACTTGGGTGTCTGGATAGGTTTCATTTGACTAAAAGAGTGTGGGAAGGGGTGTTCTGCTGCCTTGTACAAGTTTTAAATCCTTTTTTATATTCAATAAAGTAGATATTTTAAGCTGGAAGAATGTATACTTTTCATGAACTAAATGGAGTTATTCTAATTTTGAATGAAAAAAGTATGTCCTGTTTTTACTTTTCCCGTGTTGACACACAAACAAAATATAATTGCTCGCTACTGATCTACATGATGGCAAATGCTCAGATGGAAATTTAAAAATATAATGAATCATCCAGATATTTCCAAATGTCTCTTTAAATTTATTATAGTTTGATTAGGTATCCTACGATAGACAAGCTGTTCTTTATCTGGGATGATCCAAGTAGGAAATATATTCCACAAAAACTTCCTACATAAATCCTGTGTATGTTCTGTGCTGTTTACAAATGACCTCTGGAAAAAGCAAAGTTTCCCATGGTAGAGACAGAGCAACATGTATCTTGTTTTTTTCTCTTTATTCCCTATTCTTTCTTTTTTTATTGTTTAAGATAAATTAGAAGACAAAATTTTTCTATATCGTGGTGTATATTACATGAAATTTGTTAAATTATTCTTCCCACTATATAGTTCCTCCACAATAAGTCTATTTTCAAATACATAAAACAGGTTGTATGGTTGCTTATCTACGTATCCTGTGTACGAGGTATCCACAATTTATCTAAGGAAACATACTTCTTTTTTCAAAAGGCATAACCCCCAAATATTTAGCCATTTATCTTCTAAAAGCCATGCAAAATGCATGTCTCTTCTGTGTTTCCTGTTGATAATATCCCCCCCATTGGTAGCACAACTTTTCTTTCCTCTGGAATGCTGGTACTTATTTTATTCACGGATTGCAAAATTATCCTCTGTTGCTATTCAACCAAAGGGCATTAGTCATACAAGTGGTGAGAATGTTGCTTAGGATACGATCAGCCGTGGCAGTGGAAAACAGCACTTTCAAACAGGCCTCACAGAGTTATGGATGACACTGCCTGGAGATCATATACCCCAAACCTCTTGGACAGAGGACTTATCTCCACACAGACGTCACCAATAGAGTCACTTTCAGAACTCCCTGCCCTACAATGTCTTCAAGCTCAGCAGTTTACCAGCCTCTGAAGTATTATTCTATTTTTACAACCTGTCCAGACAGGGGATGTGTCTAGCAGCAAAACTGGCTGTGTTCCAAATGTTCATTTCCAAATCATTTATTTGGAATCAGGAAACATTATCCCAAAGGAACGATTTTATAAATGGTGTCTTCCACCAATGCCTGGTTGAGCCTCATTGTACTTGAAATGCCACATTGACTGTACTATTCCCACCAACAGTTATTTATTCTGTTTCTCTGGGAAAGTGCGTTCTGAGTTCTAACTTGGGATGTCTGAAGCTCACCTCTCCCTCTGCCCAGTAGCCTTTGCCAAAGCTTTTTTGGGCTGTGCCACAGTGGTAGTCGGGAAGAGGGGAGGTAGTAGCCTTCCCAAGGAGACGAGTGTAGAGAGTTGATACAGAAGCCTCTGGGTAACTTGTTAATTCTGGAGGGTTGGGGAGGAAACCACAGTTTCAGATCAGTCACTTTTCAAGTGTTCGGAATGAGGCACAAAGGGTGGGGACTTTTGCCCAAACAGAGATCATTTCCATGCCAGGTTTTCAAAAATAGGGAAAGGCATATCCAGTAAATCCTCAGATTTTCAAAGACCAAGCTTTTGAACTTGTAATTAGCCAGGGAATATATTTTTAAATTTTTTAGTCAATAATGAAACAGTCTCCAAACACATAGCAATAATGAGACATAGATCTTGCACCTAGCCCTGGGCCTGACATATAGGAGATGCTCCAAAAAAGGTTGCTTTTTTAATTTAAAAAATTTTTTAATTAATTAATTATTTATTTATTTTAAAGATGACCGGTAAGGGGATCTTAACCCTTGGCTTGGTGTTATCAGCACCACACTCTCCCGAGTGAGCCACGGGCCGGCCCTAAAGGTTGTTTTTTTGAAAAAATTGAATGAAGTACTAATTGAGTGAATTCTATATTGAAAAGTACAAGATCACAATTGTATGCTTGTGTAGGCCAGCTAAGTGCCTTCTCATTCAGCACCTCCTGATTCTAACCCCCTCAGGGCATACGTCCTATCAGTGAAGAGTTGGTCAAAGAACTTTCAAGAAGGCACTAAAACAGTACTGTCACCTCTGGGGGCATAGGCATCTGTCTACACCAGCCCCAAAGCAGGTACTGGTTCTCTTCACGCCCTCCGACTTGTGCATCAATTTCTAGCAATTTTTAGCGCTATCTCCCAATTGCCAAATCTAAGGAAAGAAAAAGGAGCAGGAGAGGGAGGTGAGGTGGAAAACCAGTGAGAATACCCAAGCCTCTAGGACCCTGCCTAGCAGAGTTTCTGGCATTAGGTTTATTCTGGCAAACATTACCTGCTAAAAAAGACCTAAGCGTTCTCTGTGTTGGTTGTTTTTATAACACACACAGACATATTTCAGGGGGCTGTGCTGCTTTCAGACTAAAATTTAGTCTGTACAGCAGACCTGGGTCCTGCCCATTTCAGTTTTAGAATTGCATAACAATTTAAATTCATTTTGTACATCCAATCACTTTGAAAAGAAATACACTATTAAGGCTCCCTCCATTAAAAAACCTTCCCTACCCCCACTCCCAATAAACTTATCTACTGTTAACTTTTCATTTCATAGACCATGCTTTCTTTTTAAAGCTCCATTTGTGTTCTACAAGACAGTCTCTTTCTCTAAGATTAACATTTCTTATGATTGTTCCTGACAATGGATCCACTTCCAGAGGCCCTGCTAAGGATAACCAAAAAAGGGCATGGAGCAGGCTGGTTTTGGCAGCCTGCACGCAGTTTCAGAGCTTTTTAGGTCTCGGTTTTCTGCTGAGTGATTTCCTGAGCATGCCTAGGGAATGACAGGCATCTCCACAGGCAGGCTGCATCCACCTTGGCCGGGGTGTCGTCATTGGCTGCCTATTGGAAAAACTACAGGACAATGCATACCACCGACTGCCGACTGTAAACATAGGGGATATGTGTTCACTTAGCATGGACTTCTGGGAGGGGCCAAGGAAGGGCGGTCTGGAGTTTTATTGAATAGAGCAGTGTGTATTAGGCTGCTTGCCTGCCTGCTTTCTCTCTTGCTGTGCTCCTGCTTAAAGAAATCAGTCCTTCCTTTCTGACTTAGTCCTCGGGAAGAAGTTTCAGCCTACGAGGTAAGGCACAGAGGGCTTTCTTTTTTCTCTTCCGGAGAATCTGGGGACTTTCTCCGGGTTTCAGTCAACATTCCTGGCCAAGGTAGCTGGAGATACAAGATTGTTTGAGGCAATAAACCATGTAAATTCCCAGAGCCAGACTGGGCTTCACTGCCCTGCAGATGTTCCCGGAAGGCAAACAGGATGAGATTTCAAGTTTTGTTTTTAGAGTTGGGACAAGAGGAGAGGTCATATAGAGACTCAGATTCAGGGAGCACTAGCAGCTTTGATTAGGGCAACCTTTTGTTTAGGAGGTAATATGGGATTAAACGTGATATCCACAGGCCAGTGTGAGCAGGCGTGCTGTGCCAGTTGGCTCACCCCAGCAGTCTGTCTTGGAACTTTTATTGTCAAAGATTTGAAGAAGTTTTGCTTCAAAAACAACAGCAACAACTCTCTAGGTTGATGAGAAGCCAAAAAGTGATGAGTTTTTAACCAAAGTCATTGCTATTTTATTCTGCTCCTAGTATTTAAGAACTAGACTTCCAGAGCTCCAAGGAAATAAGCTCAGAGGTGGAAAGAGAACCAGCACCTAGCACTGGATGGGTTAATGTCACTGATCTGATATTTGTTAAGACTGAAGATGCCTACCATGATCTGTTTCCTGTAAAACCTAATAATGAGAGAATGCATGCACTAGTGGGTGTGTTTTTAGAAATCACATTTAATATCCTACCAAACTATTTCTTTAAAAATGTTATTTTCTGCTTGAAAGTGTATCTAAGTGTGTCTAGAGAATTGGAAAAGATGCAGGTTGGAAATGTGTTCCAGAAAGGAAGGAGGCAGGCTTTTATTTCGAGATAGACTTATTTGAGCGTCTTAAGCAGTAGTGCGAAGCAGCTAGTTGGTGGTAGCCTGGAATTCCTTTTAGAAAGAGCTGGTTGTGAAGGGCGGGGGAATTTTAGTGCTGTGGCAATACATGGTCAAAAAAGTGGATGAGAACAAAGTACTTGGTATTCATAGATCCCTTCTGTTAACAGGGCTATGCAGATGGACTTGTAAACTCAAATAGTAAAATCCTTCCAATGTGTTTGCCAAAACCAGATATGTATGGCTAGAACTTAAGTGAAGACTGAGTGCTATGTGGCAAGAAGGGCAAATCTGATCATTTTTTAATAATGCTAGATATTAAAGGCTACCAGGTCCCAATTCTGATTCAGTTTGATTTTATTCCATGGAGTGTGGATTTGGGTTGAGATTCATTAAATAATCTTTGCTATTTGTATTTAGAAGTTTGGGGATAATTTTCTTGAGAATGCCTCTCTCTCCTTCTAGAAGTGATATATGAGAACAGAATTCCCTGTGAATTTCTTTCCCTGGAACAGTTCTGAGTAAGTGTGAGAGAAAGGCTGCAGACAACAGCTATAGTTTGATTATTGTCCTTCCCTCGAAGAGATCAAGTTCCAAACTATTTTCACAGTGTTTTTAATGTCAATCAAAATATGGAAAGCAATTTCTTTTTTAACTGTTCTCTAAACCATGTAGGGAATGCAGTTTGGAAGGAAATCTATCATCTTCAGATTTGAGGATAAATTCCATTTTGAAACCAACATCACCAAATCCCATAAGTTCACACTTCGGTATGACCACTCTCTCCCATCCCCCTCCTGGTCTCCCCACCCCCAACAACCACAAAAACACATTTTCTGAAATAACCTTGCAAGTGTTCTATTATATGTAGTGATGGAGCAAGGGAATTTTAAGTTTATGGTGAACTTTAGGCAGCTCTTTGTGCTTCTTCCCTCCTGTTGAACAGTTGCTAAAACATATCTCCTTAAATAGGGAAATGAATGGAACACAGCGAAACCACAGTGCAAGAACTTTCATTTTACTAGAATCATTTAATAAAGAGAAACATAATGTCAAAATTCTGGAACAAAAAGTCACCAAAAAGATCTTAAGATGCAGAATGAACAGACACTGGATTATCCATAGGTAGAGTATAGGATTGATTCCATTGTTCAAAGACAATAGAATTTGTAATTTAAATAATTAAAATCAAAAGAGTGACTTACATAAGTTTACAGTTCTTGCATTAAAGTTAAGAGAAGGGGAACTGGGCTCAAACAGCCGCGTAAAGGATTTAAATGAGATACATGAAAGCATTTCCTGACTGTGAGGCTGTTAACAATTCTAATTAGCTCCTGCCACTGGCCTGAGCATCTCCTGCTCTCAGGCAGATGGAACAGGCTTGTTTTGTGTCCAGCCATGGAAAGTTCCAGAATCCAGCCAGGCTATTCTCTGATAAGTAAAACGCACTTCAGTAGGCATTTTCTTAGAAACACACATAGTTGTCTCCATTTGTCATTTTCATGGTAGCATGATTACTCCTTATTCTTTAGCAAGACAAAAAAGTGACTTAAAGATGGGCACGAAAAGGGATAAGCTGGTTTCCCATCTGCCTGTCATCTATCACATGTCTCAGAAATGTGACAGGGGTGAGGCCGTGGGGGGGGGGCAGGGGAAAATGCTGACAAAGTGGTATGCAAATAGCATGGTAGCACTAAGGACGAGGTTTGAAAGATGCTGCCAAAGAATTTTCAGACTTTAAAAAGGGGTTTTCTGGGTAAATTCTCTCAGAGCCTGAAAATAGAACCATTAGCTTCTTACTGAAAGTCCTTCATCTATCAAGCTAATCCAAGTTTGTTGTTGGAGAGTTGCCCATGGGTTTCCAGTAGCTGGGTAATTTAAAGAGATATGCTTAGCTCAGCCTGAACTCATGAGCTCAGACCCCACTTGCAGTACTGGCTCCTCTACTTAAGTAGCCCTGACCTTCCAGAAAGTCATCAACTCTTTAATCTCATCTGCAGAATGGGCATTATACTGCTTCTCCTATGTCCCATAGTGAGTGGTTAAGATGTCCAAGGGAGATGCGGGCTATAGACCCTGAACTGCCCACAACTTGAGTCTTCTGGACATTATGCTCAACTTGGTGTCCTCCACTTCTTACCTAGGATCCCTAATTATCTCCTCCTTCCTCATATTTGGAGACCCTTGAGTGGCATCTTCTGACTCCTAGTTCTTTTCAGAACCCTGAGCCCAGAGACCGGTGAATATTACTCTGTCCCAATGGTGTTGAATTTTGCCTTTGGCAATCCAAGACCAGGAGGTGGAATGACACAGGCCAGCAGTGGTGTGAGGCAATATCCGAGGAAATCGGAGGATCCAGTTGAGCAGAAGACCAGTGACAAAGTGCTGACAACAGAAAGGCCTTAGAAAGTGAGGCAGCTTCTCTGCCTTCCACCCAAAGCATGGAATCAATCCCAGCATATTGAGCCTGGACCCTGGGGCGGAGAGTGAGGCAATGAGCAGCACCTGGTTGTGGTTCCAGTTGGTCTAGAGACCAGACTGCTCCATGGAGCTTGCGTCTCATCCCTGTTTGCCTCAGTCTTCAGTCTTCCCAGCTGTAGCTGGCCCTGTGGCATCCCCACCAGTTTCCCCAGCTCCCCCACCCCAAGCCAAATGTGGAGCTTTCCTGATCCAACGCTGGCAATTTGCAGGGCCTGGCTGTGGGAGGAGGCCCCGAGCACAGATATGTTCTGGGCAGGGGAGAGCCGCTCCAGTTCTGGAGGCAGAGGGAGGCAGTTGTGCAGAAAGAGCAGGAAGGAGCCGCTGTGCGTCTCACCCCAAACTCTCAATGGGCTGGAGACTGAATGTCGTGACAGGATGGGGAGAGGACGACCCCGGGCCATGAGGAGCAGGGTACATGGTTGTCCTCTCCAGGTCTTTCTTCTCTATGTTGCTGTGGAGACCTTTGAGAATTTGGCAAAAACTCTGAGCCGTTAAGGTCCTTTGTAAACCCACCCTTCCTGATTGACCTTGAGCTGGGGGAGATGGGGATAAAGTCCTAGTTCCCGTGGGAGATCAGAACACAGGTGGAGGTGTCCTTCTTGTTTCCCAGGTCTGGAAGGAAGGAAAGATGGTGTAAACACAGACACAGAGGAGGAGATTACCTCACATGGCCTCCATTTCAAAGGAAAGGAGGTCATCTCTAGAGAAGACACAGTTTTCCGTGGGGAGCTTGTAGGAGCTAGAGAAACTCAGGGATGGCTGCTAGTAAGTGCATGCTAAGAAAGCAAGGGATTAGTTAAAGGACAGCTGAGCAGTTGGGAGGGAAGTGTTGCAGCAAAATAGTTTTTTCTGATATTTTAAGTAAATTGGGTGTTCTTAATAAGCAGTCATTTAGTATGTGACTTTTAAAAATATTTATCAGTGATGGATAACTTGAAGATAAATTGCTTTTTAATTGTTTCCTGAGGCTTCTGGCATTGTTTTGTGAATTAGCGGATGAAAGCACTTGACTGTAAGGAATTCATCTCACTTGGAGAGGAGCATTTTAAGTAGGAATATATAATTAGTTCCTTTTTACACCCACATGTAACATTCCCGCCTGCTTGTCTCAAGATATATTGCTGAAGACTGGCAGGTCCAGGGCAAAGTGCCCAAGGGGGCCGAGGGCCAGTCGGCATCAAAGATATTAATTCCATGGGTCAGGAGGGACAGTCTAAGCCAGAATGGACATAAAATACACAAATGAGCTAAATTGTGAATTACAGCCAGGTGAGTAAAGGAGAATTAGCAAAAATCAGAAGTCAGAGCTCTAGAAATCAAGAGCTACTTAGCCAGGCAGTGTAGAGACAGGTAAGGTGAATTATTGAAGGGCACTGGGCACTGGCCACTGTGTTTGGAACAGACAGACCCTTGTGTTAATCAGCTTCAGTAGCCCAAGTAAAGAGACTGGATTATAAGATACATGCGGAATAAGAAAGGGATGGAATCACAAGGAAATCCAATAACAGAAGCCAAAATAGGACCAGGGTCCAAAGAGACTGGAGTCAGAACCAAGGTGGGTGGAAGGATCTCAGCAGAGGTCAATGGCCCTCCACTCAGGGTGTTTCCAGTAACATAACTCAGCTGCTGCACGGGAGGCTGCTCTTTTCCATTGTTCTATCAACTGGAAA